AAAGCTAATAATTTCAAAAATCGATTATCTGTGTTGAAGGACAGAAACTTGGTTATCGAAAATCAATGGTAGAAAGTAGAATGGTAAATTTGTTTGAATAAAAAGTTGAATAAAGTAAAGATTCCGCAACACCCTGGGAAGCATAGACCAATTGCTATTTTGTGTTGCCTGTCAAAGTGCCTTGAAAAAGTTGTACATGGTCAGCTAATTAAATTTGTAGAGTCAAAAAATATTCTTGATCCACTTCAATCTGGCTACAGAAAATGATATAATACTCAAACACTTTTATTCAAAGTTACTGATTATGTCCTTCAAGCTATTGATCATAGAAAGGTAACTATCATTATTTTTTTTGACTTTAGCAAGGCCTTTGATATGGTACCACATAGTCTTTTGTTAATGAAATTAAAAACTTTTGGAGTGTCAGGTTCTGTTTTAAAATGGTTCTCATCTTATTTAACTGGTTGAATGCAATGTGTTGTTGGGCCTAATGGCGATAAGTCTGAATGGGGTCCTATTAGAACGGGTGTACCACAGGGCTCGGTATTAGGTCTTTTGCTGTTTTTACTCTTTACAAATGATTTGAGGAGTATTCTTAGGAACTCTAGGCACGTATATTATGTTGATGACTTGCAGATTTATGTGCACTCTAGTCTTGATGATCTGGAAAAAATATCAAACTAATTAATGAGGATGTTCAGGCCGTTTATGATTGGGCAGAATCCAATAAGCTTAAGATAAATCTCAAGAAAAGTTATTCTATGATTATTGGTTCCTCTTGGAATATCAAATGTTTGCATTTGGGTGCATGCCCTTAAATTAAAATAAATAACACTGTTATTCCTTATTTATTATCTGTTAAAAACTTGGGTGTCACTTTTCGTCAAACTCGTTCCTGGGATAAACATGTTGGATTAATTTGTAGAAGTGTTTATGCAACCTTACAACAATTCAAATCAAATAGAAAAGCTCTTTCTGTCCAGTTAAAGACTCAGCTTGTCTCTTCATTGATTCTTCCTCACTTTGACTACTGTTGTGCTGTTTATAATGATCTGACAGATGAACTAAATGATAAGCTTGAAAAACTCCTCAACTCATGCATAAGATTTACTTTTGACTTAAAAAGAGATAAGCACATATCTCCATACCGGAAAAGACTGGGGTGGTTGAATGTCAAAAATCGTCGATTGTTGTTTATTGAATGCTTGACTTATGTAGTTCTTAATACTAAAAGACCTCTTTATTTATTTGATAAATTTATATTCAGATATGAGGTTACTTCTAGAGAACTAAGGAATCCCAATGTCCTTATAATACCTCTCTGCCGAACTGAACAATATAAGAACTACTTTTTTTACTGCTGCGGATCTGTGGAATTCTCTTCCATGCTCGATAACTAGAGCGGATAGCATTGGTATTTTTAAATTGAAACTTTTTAAATATTTAATTGACTTCGATAATTGAGTTTTATTGTTTTGTGTAGTTTCTTGTATTAATTTTATTTGATTCTGTACTTATATAATTTATATTAAAATTTATTTGCGTTAATTTGTATTCTACAGTATATGCTTGTGATAAAACAGATTCTATTTCATATCATAAGTTTCTAGGAGGTTTAGAACTGAAATGTTCAGATATAAGTGTAATCTTTATATCATGATGCTCATTATATTAAAGCTGCAGGTCTTGCGTCTTTGTTCTGTAACATGATTGCATTATAATTCTTATTATTGTGATTCTTTTGGTTTAAAATTTCTTTTCGTGATCTGTATAATTCTCTACTGTTTGTATTATATACATATATATTGTATTTGTTGTAAATCAATTGTTGATCTCATGGTTCTCCTGGGACAAAATAAAGAAATTCTTATTCTAATAAATGTTTAATACAAAACTTTGATTCCTGATCGGTTTTCACAGTTTTGACCAGAGTCGTTAATCTTTGGAATTTATTGCATCCTTACTAGCATATTCATATTGGAATTTTAGATTCGTTGGTGTATTAGTCCCGCATACCAAGTGCGTCTCAAGGACTAAAGTGCACCTAAGAGCTCGCTCTACTTGAGAATATACTCGCTAGGATCTCAAATTATTGATTTTATTTAATATGTAAATGTGATGTTAAACTTTGGCATATTCAAAACTACAATTGTAAACTAGAAATAGTTATACCTCCTTCGTTACTATAAACATTAAATATTTAAGTAATATTTTTCTTTTATTTATGAACGCGTATTCTGCTAGAGTACTAGAGTTGCAAGTGTCCTGGTGAAAAGTTACCTTCCAAATTATACCTTAATACTAATTTTTTTTATTAAATATTGCTTCTATAGAATGACTGGAAATTATGAGGTTGTTGATGATGATGTCACTAATAGATATGCAAGCAGAAAGAATGGAATCATCGAATTCCAGAAGGGTACCCTATCTGGGAAGGCAGGAATTGTTGGGGCCCATAATTATCCTTGTATGAAAAGAGTAGATATGCAAATTAGGTAAAGGAAGACATTCTTATATTATTCGTTTTGGAAACAAGAATCTAAAGCATTTTGTTGATTTATAAGTTTAAGGAACTAGTCTAGAATTCATCCCATAATCTATCGTGACGAACGCGACTAAGACGCACACTCTGAGGAGATGGTGAAAGAGGAGCTAAATTTATTCAGGGTTTAGCTCGGTTCCTGTTAGTCCGAAGTGCACCTCGAGCCACGTCGGTAGACGAACTGATGGAAAATATTGTGCGTGCGGCTTATATAGGCGCGAAGAGAGCCAGTGGAGGGGGAAGGGAAGCGGCGCAAGTCTCATGCGCAGTCGTCAGTCTCTCTCCGTCTGCGAGCTGTACGCGACTACGATGGCTGTACTGTACAATGTATGCTATTGCTATATTATATTGTTTCTAAAAAATGAGTCAAGGTAATAAATGTTTTTAGCGTATCGATCAGAACAATAACTCTTAGCCCATGGCACACAAACTAAAATTTATATTTACAGCTTTTCAACTTCCGACTAAAAAAAATGTTTTATTATGTCAACAAATCTATGGTCCCCTCCTGGGTGTGTTAATAATTGCGATCATTAAGGTTAAGCACCGAAATGTACGTCAGGTACTTAGATGGGTGACAATGCCTCGACTCCAACTACAGTTCTGTGTTTTACTGCTACCAAGTCATGTCAAGCAGAAGGTTTGACGTCGAGGTACAATGGTGTGCACTGTCGATTACTTTCCAATACATCATTAGTCCAATTTAACATCCCATGCAGAAAAAAAATTTTGACCTGTTAGTCCAATTTGTCATTGCACAATGTTATAAAAAATTTAATATAATGAATATTTTTAAAGGTTCACTGAGTATATATTTATGCGAAAGGCCACATAATGTAGCACATTTATGGTGTGCAACGTTGGAGGTTCCTAAAGCTCTTGGTCACGCTTAATGTGTTTAATGGAGCCAAGGGAGTATTATTACCAATTTCAACACTTCTTGACTATGGTATAAAGGGTACATTATTAAAATATATTAACCGAATAATACCAGTAATTTTAATTTCAAAGCTTCTATAACAAAAAATAAAATTTCTACTCTTTGAAAATATGAAAATAATTAAAATCTAAAATTAAGATTGACAAGATCCTGGCAGCAAAAGGAATTTAAAAATTCCATAAATACAGTTTATGTTAGAAATCTATTTTTAAAAATAAAGAAATTAAAAACTAATATTTTAGTGAAGCTATAAATGGAAATCTTCGCCTTTGTAAAAATATATGAAGCCCACCTGAGAAGAAATTATCTTAATAAAGATAAGCATCACAGCGACTAATTCTTGTTTTCGGGACGGAAATTTTTTTACTTCATATTTATTTCAAGCGAAGCTGTATTTAATCAGCTTAACGTAAGGAAGGTTACATCTGGAAACGGTATAAAATCAATATCAATATTAGATGATGAAATGCTTATTATAGGTAATGTCAAAGTTATTTTTCTATTTGTCTAAAGTATTGACGTTTTCAAAATAAATATTAATTTAGCATATCACACAGAGGTAATAATTTATTATTCCAATTATTAGATAGTCTAATTATTCATTAAACTATTCTAAGATTTTTACTTTTAGTTGCTAAAATTTTTATGTAAATGCACTTTTAATGAAGAGTTCTGATTTCTGAAATCAATTAGTTACATTATTTGAATAGTTTAATATTGAATATTTAATTAATGGTGCTTTTAAAAATTACGAAGTTCATTTTATCTACTTCATCAACAATGAGATTAAAATAAATTTTTTAATTTAATAAAATTTAATATCTTGGAAAATTAATTCTTGTCCCAGTTTTTAAAAGTGTAAACATTAAACGTTAATTCTAGAGTGGAAACATTTAGAACTGCATGACATTCTTGTATGGCAGTTGGCAGTTACACTAGACGTGCTTATCAGTAAACCTTATCAGATTTGTTTGACTTCCTTGCTTTCCATAAGGGCGGTAAGATCCTTCTGAAGCCACAAACATTCAATGGTTTTCTATCACGCACTCTTACAATCCCAACAACCTCCCCTTTGCTTGAAGGAATATTTCATATTTGCTTATGATCTACGATCTGAAATGTGTGCTCCGATTCCGGAAATTCTAACTAAGAAGACTTGAATCTTTCAACTCTGCAGTGAAGAAGAAACTAAAGTATGATATAAGATTCGCATAAATTTTCTCACTCAACTTTTGTCTCTTCGATAATAAACGAGCTGAAGCATGAAAACGAAAAACGAAAATGACAAAGAATTTCCAATAGATTTTTCTTATGTTAATTTCATGACATTCTAAAAATACAACCCTAGATGTATTTCTGACAATCAATTTCTAAATCTTTTTAAATCATTTTAACATTTAATTTAAAGTTCTTTTAGAAAAGTTGACGAGATTTTTAAAAATCACACTTGAAATTTTGTATTTCAAAAAATATTTTCAAACTCAATTTCATGTGGGATAAAATTAATGGAAAACTCACCGCATTATTGTGATTCCAAAAGATGTATGCTGGTGGCTCTGGACTTTGAAGAACGATGCAAGTAAGATTGATCGTACTACCACGATCAATATACAGATCAGGTCCTCCGAGGATTTCAGTCGTCGGTTCTAGAAACAGAAAATTCAGATTTAAATTAGATATTACATCCCAAATGCAATAAAACTTTGTTAATTACAAGTTTATAAATTTAGTGACACATTATTTTTTTAACGTTTCAACGGTACCCGCTACCCTCTTCAGAACTGAAATTTATTATAAAATTAGGATATGTACAAACAAGAAAAAATTATAATTTGTCATTAGAGTTCATATGCTCCTTGATTTGTAGAAAATCTAGTAATCATGGAAACCAGCTTTTGTCTGGCCAATAAATCCACTGAAAACAAATTGTCATAAACCTGAAGATTGGAGACTTTATAGATTCCTCTAATTAAACCATAAAAGTGGTTTTATTCTACAATACGAATGTTTATGTACCGGTACTAATAGCTCACTCAACTGTTATGCAGGAAAAGTATGAAAATTTAGAAGTGCTGTTAAAAAAAATTGATTACTAGAATCATCAAAGGCAGATCTATGATCAGGACCCCTAAAAACTCCTACATACCAATTTTTCATATTCGTTACTCGATAACAAATTCAATTGTCTATCGTGTTAAATGAGGAGTACTAGTATTTCCCTAGACGACTCCTATTCTTTCCATTACAGATCTTCAGAAAAAAATTAATAATAAATCTGTTTATCGTTTCATATGTAACACAACTGATGACTCGTCGTTAAATTAATAATAAATCTGTTTATCGTTTCAGATGTAACACAACTGATGACTCGTCGTTAAAGCAAGAAAAAAACGATACCAATCGATCTTGGCAGGAAATTTATTTCATTCGATGCCAGATGCTTTTTGTCTTTGATCTTTGGGAATAGGGAAATGTGGATTGTTGAGGAAGCAAATTGAGGAATTGAAGGATACATGTAAAAGCTCTCTTGTAGAGAATAAAGTGAAAGTAGGAGGAAGAGGAGGAGGGTTTTTTTTGTAGAAGAGAGGCGACTGGCCTATCCGTCATCACGGCCAGTGCACCTCACGGTTATTTCGGTCAAATCCTAAAAAGCGAGGAGGCAACCCGGAAAATATTCCCATCGATCTCCAAAGCTGACCTCTCGCCAGAAAGCAGATGCGATACCGGATAGTCTATACGAGAGCCCTCTTCAAAGTACTCTTTCGAGCTACAAGGGCCCCCCCACAAAAGAACGTGGAATCAGCCGCGGTCTGTCGGTCATAAATAGCCCTCTCATGTCGTCGTTGCCCTTTTTTTTGGCATTGCAAATAAATTTCTCAAAAGTCCATTTCTCATTGTACAGAAAATCCTCTTCTGTTATTATATACCTCGAGACCATCGATCACAAGACTGCTACCATAATCCTCTTTATAGATAAAGATTCTTGCAAGTGATTTGTTCATTTTTTTTACAAGCCACGAAGGACCCGAGATATTAGTCATTTTTTAACAATCTCCTTTAAACTGTTCAAGATAAACTAAAAAATTGGAAGAGAAGCAGGCGCAAACGCCAACATCTAGGGTCTTGTGGCATTTAAAAAGAAAAAAAAATTTAAAAAGAAAAACTATGGATGTTTAATTAATGTACAATTAATTTCTATAAATTGATTCTCCACCAATTAACATTAACATTAATAGAGAAAAAATAGAAGCAGGCATTTACGAATCCTGTTTTGGTTATCATAAACCATTGTGGTTAAGACTGACTGACTGATTTGGGATCTATAGTGCCCCAAATTACGACGGACAGACGGACGGACGGACGCCAAAGTGAAACTATAAGGCTTTCGGCCATGGGCCACGAAACCCTAAAAATGGTAAATTCTACTAGCGTATTGAACGTACTGTTGCATATAGATTATGCACTAATGTAAATTGTCGCTGGAGATTAAGATTGTAGCAAAGCAGGAAAAAGTGTGTACCTTTATAAAGAGTGATAAATGATCTGAAAAAAGGTGAAACAATAATTAATACAAAGAGGAATTAGTGTCAAATCTCCTTTTATTTTTTAATCTCACCTATAGTGGAAAGCGTGTGAAAAGATTAATGTTACCAGGAAAGTTATATTTCTTAGAAGAAATAAGAGAAGCTATTTGTTACATTTGTCTACATCTACATTCACCGGACGAATGCTCAGGTAGAATTTTCTTTTAAGACGATAGTTTTGCAAAAAAAAAAAAATTTACAGAAACTAGGACCTACATCAACACTCATATTCAACTTCTAAATATTACGAGGGATAAGCAGTCAGGGTAGACTAGAAGTTCCTCGTAGTCCGGTAGCAGACGAACTGCAGATAATCAAAGAGAAGTTGCTTTTATAACTAGAGTGGGATAGTGGACACTAGAGTGGGGATGGTGGGGACCTAGGTAGAGAGAGAGAGGGGCAAACGCCTTAGAGTGGGGAGAGCAAACAAGTTGTCATTTGCTCTCATTCCATCCTGAAGGATGGAAGGACTGTAAGAGGCTAAAAAGATGACATCGCCACGAGTCATCTTTTAGTCTTTCGACAAGTATTTATATAAAAATTACCTGGCGCATATGGTAACAAAAAAATATCAACTACCTTTTACATTGAAACAAATTATTATTATATTAATAATTATTCCAAATCGCTATTCTACTTTTAAAATAAAAGTAATTATCTCCTGATTCACAATTATTTTTTTGTTTTAATAGAATTTTGAGAGATTCAATTTTCGCCCCTTTTGAATTTGGCCTACTTTTTCCCCTATCTTTTGTTTGAATTTCATCATACGCTACGAGTTGCCTTTATGTCCATCTGGTAGCGTAGTGGTTTACCACTGCTTCGCGATATCGTAAAATCGTATCGTCTGCTACGTATAATTTACCGACATGGTTGAAGTTGAGTAAGTTGTGGTAGTGACATATGGGTTGGTTACGTTGATTTTGAATAGCGATTTATTTTCTGATGTACATAACTAGTGAATGTTTCAAATGCAAATTGCAACATATCACAATTTCTCTTTCATGTGTGAGGTGGAATTTTTGTGTCTGATTAAAATTGAAATGAAAAGAACAATTTTAAAATAAAATTAATTCCCTTCTGTTCAATAATGTACAAATTACATAAAATCGTAATTTCAGTTTTCATTATTAAACAAAATATAACCGAAGAGAAAAGAATTTTAGAATAACCTACATTTTTGTATTCTTAATATTTCATGTGTCGAAAATCGTAATAATATCTGAAATGTCAGAAGGTGAAATGGGATAATATTAATTCGTTTTTAATGAGAATTTGTGAATTTAAATAAAAATTAGAAACATAAGAATGCGTTGAAGATCATTTTTATCGAAATACAGTACTCGTAGAGTAGAAAATAATAAGAAGAATGAATCAGTACCTTCTTCTTTTTTAAAGTATTTTTCTAATGATTGTCAAAGGACTATAATTTAAAAAAAAAACTTTTCCAAGTGTGAGTAAAATTCGACAGTCACGGGAAACCGATACACGATCAGGTGCTGATAAATGGCTAACTCCTGCCTGCACCGAACATCCCTGATATATTATAGAAGCGAATATAGTAAACGATGGTTCGATGCCGTTGAATTTCAAGCTCCATCGGACTGCTGACCGGAGAGAAAAATTTCGTCAGAATTTTCAAAACACTTTCACAAATTACTTTATCGATCTTATTGCAAAATTTATTGCCACTTTTAATGACTGTATTATTTTTGAAAAATTACTTCAAAAAATGTCATTTAAGTCTAAATCTATTAATTTCAGTTATTCAATTCAACATTTTATGAAAAATAGTATTAAAAATTTTCCATTTGCAATTAAAAAAGAACAATTTACCATTGGCTATCAGTTTTTAAAAATTCGTATATTTGCGGCTTCTGGGAGAACTTCAATTTGAGTATGAAATACGAGAAAGTACATTGGATTGCCATTGAGATCGTCCATTTGTAGTATAAAGAATGGAAGGAAGTAAAGGAGGATGAGAAAGGCGGAAAGAATTCATCTGATACATTGAATCATATACACTACATACACACATATATATCTGCTCACTTTTTATATCCTATATTGATCAGAATTCTGTTAGTTTTTAACTATGAGAGGATAAACTAAGCGCATTGTTGAATTCAATTACAAAGAAATTTCTATTTTTAAAATAAAACTATAAAATACAGAAGTTTCAAATTTTAATTAAATAAGTGAAACCAATATTTAGAATCAAACAGGACAATTTTGAAAATAGAATAATAATCTAAAATGTTTTTTTCGATATGGGGGAAAAAAGATGGTGAAAAAGTAATCAAATAAAATAAAAACTGTTTGTAAAGTGCAACTAATTTCAATTTGCCTTAAAATAGAGAATTTAATCATTTGCTGCAAGTGTTTTAAATAAAAAAAATAATTAAAGAAACCAACGTATCTCCAAAGACCATGAAATAACGATTCCTTCTTCATGAAAGCAAAAAAAAAATGTATTGAATTTAACTTTACTTGATCCAATTTCTTTTTCATTTTAAGTTTCACAAATAATTAGAGAAGAAATCAGAGTTTGTCTTTCTTGTAAAGGACAATTTATTTTTTTATTCTTTTTTCAGAAGGGAAAATCTTCATTTAATTTTAAAGTTAATAATAATTTTTTAAGTTTGTAAGTTTAAATTTCATTGTGAATGTAATAATCAGACAGTTTATGAATGAGGTCACCTATTTAGGTTCTGCAGTTAGTGTCACCTCAAGTCTGGATGCCTTTTTTACTCTCTGCGCCAGGTAATTTTTATATAAATTTTTATTTAAATTAATATTAATTTAATTAGTCTAGAGACTAATTCTTACTTAACACTTTTCTTGCTGGTATTGAGTGGAGACTAAGCTGAGGCCCCCACTCTGGGACCACAATCAGCACTCATATTCAGAAGCCCCTAAATATTACGAGAGATTTCATAAGCATGGCAAGTGCCTCGTTGTCCGGTAGCTGGCGAACTGAGACTCAGCAAGCAGCCTCTGCTTTTATATCTTGAGTCGCGAAGAGTGGGGACAGAGAGAGAGAGAGAGGGGGGGAAATGCGG